TAAAGAATATTCATAGATAATTATTCAGCACATAGGATAGGATCACGTGATTCTGTAATTACGCTCGGAAAGAAAGACTTAGCACACTTAACTAAAGATGTTTTTTTTATGAGATTCGAAAAACGTAGTGGTGTTCAGCTCAGTCGGTTTCATGTATTTAATCACTTTTCACACATTATTATTAAGCAAAGGCTTTTTCAACTTCCTGAGACAATCCAGGGAAGACTCGAAAAAGCTGAAGATTTGCGCTACTCTTTTGATGTCGGTTAGCTACAGTAATGAATAAAGCGCAAGTTATTAAAATGTTTGACATTTTTTCTAGTATATAAACTTTCACTTCTCCGTGACTTAGTCCTTATTTCTACCAACAAAAATCAAAAATATTGCACTCCATAGCATCTTTCTTTGCACGAATTGGCCTTTAAGTGCGCGCTGTTGATAAATTTTGACTCCAATGCTTTAAAAAAAACTTTCAAGGATCATTTTTAATTTCAGACTGATAATAACTGTTTGGAATGACGGTGGATAATATTAAGAGAATATTTCAAGAGATTGATGATGCAATTGATGATCGCGGTGATATCGTTGAACTTGAACAGTTATTTACGAATGTGAAAAAAGAGATTTCTGATGAAGTATTCGAAGCTGACCAGAAACGACTGCATGATCATTACCGTTCTGTATATCATAAGAAAAAGCTGATTATCTATTATCGATTGGACAAATAGAAGAAGCAAACACACAACAGACTCTCTGCAAGAGATATGATAGTAAGGAAAAGCCATTGGATAACTTGATAACGACAGCATTTGACCATCACAAAATTGAAGAATGGTTAAGAGAATTTGAACGTAATTTATTTAGCCAAGAACCACCAAAATTGAAAACCAACTGCTTAAGTCAGGAAGTAAGACTTTTAGAAGATTTCGATGAATTAACTCTATTGATCAAGCAAGCTTTCAAATCAAATGTAAGATCGTTAAGTGAGTACTGGAAAATGACCAATATTTGTGATAGAGTACGAACAGTATTAAGTATATTGAAAAATATTATGAGTCACGAAAAAGTGGTTGTAGAAAATGGTGAAGAACGTATTGAATTTCGATACGATGAATGGATGTCTATTTTTAACTCTAACAGATTAAAATCTAGCGCCATACAGCACCATAATGATCTTTTTAAAAATGTGTTAAGATGTGTTTTGGAACAAAAAGAAAAGTTGATGAACTTGTTAAAAGAACGAGCTGATAGTTCTAGCTACTATGATTTGTATCGTAAAGAGGGAGATAGATTGAGAAAACTAGCGGATGTATATAACCGCAGCATCGAAGAGAATAAGTATGTCGAGAACTTCGACAAGAAAGAGTTGAAATCACGCAAAATGTACTTTGCACTGGGTGCATATGAACAATATCGAGCAGCAACGAAGCTTTTGGGTAGAACGGAAAATGCACTCGAACGAGTTGAGTTAGTGGAATCCATGGCTATTGCGCTATCTTTGGCTGATGATTATAGAACAGAAGCTGAATTATATTTTTTATCTGCCTTTTATCTTTTACTAACAAACTTTTCGAATTCAGGCGGCGAACATGAAATGCCAGAGCAACTGAAATCTCAGTTACGAAAAAATTTCCGAAACAGTTGACGAGCGAAAACGTTTGTGATAAAGTAAAGGATATAATTAAAGAGCAATGTAAGACAGAACGTATCAATGTTCTGTGCGGTACTCAACCAGAAGATGCAAGACAGGATATTACTGAAAATGAAGAAAATATGACGCTAAGGAACAAACATGGCGAAATGTTTCGTTTTAAATTTGTCCAACTACAAAGCAGTGTCTACGAACTTGGAATAGGAGTAAACGCTATAATAAAACAGTTTATTAAAGGCGTATCTGAGACCACATCACATTCAAGGATAAGTGATGAAATAGACAAGTACTATGCGCAAAACTAACGAATAATCCAATAAAGACATCCAGGGCCCAGGTCAAACTATATTATTCCCACTGCACGTGACCAAAGGGTCGGTCACCGTTTTTTGAATAACTTTTTCATTGAAAATTGAAAGACTTCCCATTGGAACTTTTGGAAATTAATGCAAACTAATTCAAAAAAGGCTCATATTAATTTAACTTGATAAATTCATTCAAATCAATTTAATTTTAACTAGACTAGTTAAAATTAAATTGATTTGAAAAATTGATTTGAATGAATTTATCAAGTTAAATTAATATGAGCCTTTTTTGAATTAGTTTGCATTAATTTCCAAAAGTTCCAATGGGTTGGCGATATCTTTCTATGAAGTTCGCTAAAAACTCCTAAGTAACGAAAATTCAACAAAGATCTTTTGAGGGCATTCTAACTTAGTTTTCCCTTGCAAAACAAATATTCTTGGGCTTCCGTTATAACCAAAAAAACACCATCGATGGAATTGCTCTCACAATTCATGAAAGCCGCTATCGTTTCTATAATACAATGCTGGTCACCGTTTTTTGAACAACTTTTTCATTGAAAGACTTCTATGCAAAAATGGGATTGAAAATATTTTTTGGAAGCAGAGTTTGAAGAAATCTTTAGAAAACCAGATTCTGACTGAAAAACTTTGGATAGAAATATTTTACTTTTGATTCATGGATAAATAGTTCTACGTGCCACTGCAATTTCAAACTATACTCTGTTTAGTTGTTTTATACATTAATCAACTTTGCTTTACAAGATGGTGTGTTTCAAAGTTCCGAATTGATAATATATCAAGCGGGTTTTCGCTAATTCTTAAAGCTTTTAATGAAAACAAACATTGCCCCAAAACTCAGCGTGGTCACTAACACATATTTCATGTGTTTGAGGTTGCTACAAGTCATCGCAGACAAGTCCTGGGTCCCGCCAGGAATGTAATATCATGTCTAAGCCATGATAGATGAATGGTCCGAGTGACTCCGGCTTTAAAGAGGGCGCTTAGAACTAACGGGTGGCGCAGAATAAAACGGACTATTTTGCTTCCTCTATAACTTCGTCAGTTTAAATCTGATCGGGCCAATTATTTCCTATCAGAATCGTTATTCAATTCTCTACAAAACCATGTGTAAAAGATTTTTGTAAACTACAAAATGGCTAAGTTCTAAAACGAAGAAAAGAGGTCCGAAAATCTTCAACTTTCCAGCTCAAAATGCATTGACATTTGGAGTATGTTTCGACAATTTATACGCAGGCTTAAATTAAGGGAGAAACATTTGCTGGCATTTTCAAATACGCTCTTTCCGATATCCCTGAAAATATTTTGTTTGAAAGTGGCCTTCGCCTATTAAATCGATATTTTCTGAAAACTCGTCCAAAACGCCTTAATTTGGGTTTTCACGAAAACTTACCGTAAACAGAATTTTGCATGACTCGAACGAGTGTACAGGGATGTAGTAGAGTGTACTAGCTTTCAAAGGAAAAAAAATCGTCAGAAAGTAACGCTTTTTTACTGAATGGCATGCGTTTTCGTGCAAGCCTCAAAAACATGAAATGAAAGTAGAGTTTTTTCGAAAAAGCGAAAAAATTTTATGCTAAATTTTTTACTCATTTTTTGATCAAAAAAACTCTCAAAGACATGAATCTTGACCAGAATTTGATGCGCTTTAACATGGTCGACTTAGTTTTTTCGTAGCTCTCCACGTGAAAAGCAAATTTTAGAAAAAACGGGTTTTTGTGCTTGAAAGTTAAAGATTTTCGGACCTCTTTTCTCCATTTTAGAACTTAGCCATTTTGTAGTTTACAAAAATCTTTTACACATGGTTTTGTGGAGAATTGAATGACGATTCTCATGGGAAAAAATTAGCCGGATCAGATTTAAACTGACAGAGTTATAGAGGAAACAAAATAGTCCGTTTTATTCTGCGCCACCCGTTATTTATCCATGAATCAACAGTAAAATATTTTCTATCCAAAGTTTTTCAGTCAGGATCTGGTTTTCTAAAGATTTCTTCAAACTCTGCTTCGGAAAAATATTTTCAATCCTATTTTTGCATAGAAAGATATCGCCAAGTCTTTCAATGTTTAATGAAAAAGTTATTCGAAAAACGGTGATCGGCATATTATAGAAACGATAGCGGTTTCCACGAATTGTGAGAGCAACTCTATCTAGTGATGTTTTTCGGATCGGTAATAGTAGAAAGAATTTTTCAAAATAGTCTGTCTATAGGCGAATATTTTTCAAACTGATTTTCATTTTAAGGTGTTCAGGAAATATTTTAAATATTGATTTATAAATCAAACTTTAACGGTAGATCCATATAACGACCGACAAAGGCTTACAGTAAAAACTACATTTCACTAGAATTTTCTGTGTGCATAGGTCTAATACAGATAAGAATACCCTAGTATCATTTTATTTAAAACTGTTCTGTTGTGGGCGCACTGTTAGCACTTCAAGACCTTTTTTCACTTCTTCACTAGAGAAATTACTTTATTGTTACTCTACATTTTCAAGCAAAATAAGTTACAGATGCGTTTTCCGTTCGGGCTTGTATCCTCCACAGTCTTCAGGAAACCTTTGAGATTTCATCGATCTTTGGGTTGCTTTCGGTGTGTCACTAAAAATAGCGGAAGATTGAGGAATAGTTGCATGCCTACGTGCTGGAGATAATCCGTGGAGTGAGTAAAGAGGATGTTAACAAAATTTTGAAACAAATGCACTAGTTGTAGATCCGGCTTTCCCGAAAGCTGTGAAGGGATCCGGAGCTGCCCAGCATGACTTTAGTATCAATGTGAAGCTGAGATGACATTTTATCCAAGAATACTCAGAATTATTGACCTAAGCACGATGCGTCGAAGGACACTCAACGGCTAGAACGGATGGAAGTTAATAATCTTCTGAAAGATGGATTTAGCCAGAATCAAGCAGCTAATTATTTGCTTTTTATTGGAGAAGTTCTATTACGAGAATATTTTACTTCAGAGAAATCATTTCATGTTCAACTGGCTGAACATTTCTTTCATAAGATCTTTGAAAGTAATTGTTTTAAAATACAAGCGGATGAATTAAGTGGTGCAAGAAGTAAACCTTCTTCGGATCTTCTGAAAGAATGTTGTAAGAAAGCACGGATAAATTATGCTTTAATAAAAATGATTACTTCTGGTGTAAGTGGTATGCAGGCGAGCTATGACACTATTGTCGCTCTGAAGAAATCTCATCAGTTTTTAATTTTCGAGGATATACACGTGCAAGCGTTAGATGATCTACTGTTTGCTTTTGGTTTTTTTGATGACTTATTATCATATCCGTCGTTTTTGCGAAATTTAAGCCAGAATTTGTCGTTGTTTAACAGAGAAATAGGTGAACCTTTTGTTAGTTTGAATCACATACTGCGCGAATCGACTATTCGACTAGATCAAACCCTCATTTCTGATCAAGTTAGGGAAGCGTACATGAGTGGTAGTCCAATGTTTCAACAAGTTTTTGATATGGCTGTAACAACAAATAGTAAAAATATTTTATTCACGATTGATAGAGAAGAACGCATTTGTTCTGAACCATATGCGTTACAATTCGCTGCGGATACGATGAAGGATATACTAACAGATGATGGAGAATCAATGAAAAATGTGCCATCTTCGACTTATTTGTCAATACCTGCTAACTGGCGTAATTTCAATAACGTGAAAAATAATAGGAGAAGTGGTCTTGTACTTCTCCACAGTGAAACAGCTAAAAATTTTATGAAAAATCGAAAGATGTTTGCAGCTCGTCTTCATTATATAACAACAAAAGTAGGTGATAAGTCATCCATATCCATTTTATGTGAACCATTGATAAACTATCTTCACAGACAGTTAGAACTATTTAAAGATAATGATGTTGAACAACGCGTTGCTCTTCTGAGGGAAATAGCAAACATTCACCGCACTCAGGCATTAGCGTTGAATAAATCCCATCTTTTAAATGCTTTGCCTGAATGGCATAATGCATCTGATTATTACGCAGAAGTTCTCAAACTCTCTTCAAACGATCAGATAGCCATATTGGGCTCTGCGAGATGTCTCTTGAATTTTGGCAGATACATAGCAGCAGTAAAAGTTTTAAAAAAAGCTTTGGATTGTGCTGAAAAATTCTATTTACTTGGACTAGCCAAACGGAATATGCGCTCACATCGAGATGCTAAAGAAAACGTTCAGAAAGCTCTTGATAGTCAATTTAAAGCTCTAAACATCGTTCGAAATAACCAGGCAGCGATATTACGCTTTGTCAGGTATCTCTTAGAGCTTGGCAGATACAGAGCAGCAAAGAACGTTTTAAAAGAAACTGAGAATTGTGCTGAAAAAGTTGAGTTACTTGAACTAGTCAAACGAAATACGCGCTCACATCAAGATGCTAAAGAAAACGTTCGAAAAGCTGCTGACGGTGATTTCGAAGAAGCTTCAGCCAGACGAGAAGATGTTCAAAAAGCTCTCGACGGTGGTCTTGAAGAAGCTTTAGCAGAGTTGTGTGTAATAGATAAAATTCCAAGTAGAAGAAAAAAGCAAGAACGAGAATATACAACGAGCAGAGCAGATCGACATGAGAATTCATCAAACACCTATAACATTCTTTCTATTGATGGTGGAGGAATGCGTGGATTAATACCCGCTTTGTGGCTAGCTGAGATTGAGCGAAAGACAAAACGACCTTGTGCCGATTTATTTCATATGATGGCGGGCACATCGACTGGTGCTATTATCGCAGCTGGACTATCGGTACCTCAGTCTGACCATCTAAGAGAGCCTTATAAGGCTTCTGATATCGTTAAATTGTATAAAGGAGAACGGGCCTCTGTATTTACGCGATCCTGTTGTTGGAATTTGAATGCGCCACGATACGATGATCGCGGTCGTCAGCAGCTGTTTAACAGCTACTTTCATGATTTTCGACTTTCACAAACTTTGACTGACGTGGTAATACCAGCGGTGAGAGAAGGCCAAAACTGTACAGTAAGTTTTACTAAACGACAAGGCCTTTTAGATCCTTCAAAAGATTATAAGTTAAAAGATGTTCTCATGTGTACCACAGCCGCTCCTTTTTATTTTGAACCCTATGCAATGAACGACGCTAAGTACCTTGATGGAGGAATTCAGGCTAATAATCCGGCAAAGATCGCTTATCAGGAAGCTAAGAATTATAGTAAAGAGAATATTTTTATGTTATCTCTAGGTACTGGAGATTACGTACCGTATCCGTTGAAAAAAGATGTGATTCGCGGTAACGTTTTCTGGTTTATAAACTTGAAAGAAGTTATAAAACGTTTTCTAGACGGTCCTCAAGAAGACAGTGAGCGGCTTGTCCAAGCGTGACGCTGTGACAATTTTGACACAGTAATTTGAGCTTTCCTCAAAAAGTGTATAAGCTAGAACCGTCGTCCTTGCGCCGTTCGACGCAGCTCGCCATACTCTACTTTTGG